TATATTTCATGTTATATACTAATGAATAGAAAAGTTGTATTTCTGGCGTTTAATGACCTAATGTAATTCACTATTCCAGAGTTTATTCACTCTAAAGAAGTGACTTATATGAAGTCGCGAAACGTCAGAAATACAATTTTAAAACTATCAAATGCAACCTTGACATTGATGCCTATGAACTTAATAAATTGATGTTTATTTATTATTTGAAGTATCTTTACTGTAAATAATTTTCATAAACTTGCATCTAGCCAATTTTAATATAAATTTTTTCTGTTCAAATTATGCTCCCCAAATGTCCCGGTACGGTCAAGAGTGGAGAGAGTTAGCTCTCCCTCTCAAAATGATCTCATATGGTCACAGGTATACAGCCACCGACACGGAAGTCCTATTCACTGCCTTCTCTCGGTGGACGTGTTCTTTACGAAATTGAGAGGATGAAAAGCGAATGAACCAATTGTTGGTCACCGGTTACCATTGGACTGAATCTCCTCACGATGCTCCACTGCCTTGTGGATCAGACCTTTAGGTCAAAGGCCCCGGGTGTGACCCCCTAAGAAAACCACCTGCTTCGATCTCGGAACCCGGGCAGTATCACAGCCCATATACAAATAAAATGAAATGACAATATTTACTGGAAATACTGGAAAATTTCACACTGACAAAAAAGCTATATAACTGTGGTTAAGGTTCATTTGAAAATAAAAGTGTAGCTTTTTTCAGTAGTACACATCAGTGACTCTTACAAGGTACTAACAGTAAACTATTGAGACCATTTTTTTTCCTTCAACGATAAACATTTTTAATGTCAATCAATTTGCAATCTAACCATGATAGGGAGATAAAAAATTTCAGGTTAGATCACAGATTGTTAGAGGTGGTAACAGTAATAATGATTATGGAAAAGAACTCTAATATGGATAGTAAACACTATTACCTTCATCTAATGCTTATTGCCAATTGAATCATATTATGTGAGTTCGTAAGTGAATTCTAGTATGAATAAGTCAACGTTGATAATGGTTATTAGTCACTTATAAAAATTTAATTATTGTAGGATAGTAGTTCTAGGCCGGATAGCCCACTGATTTGTGATTAAATCTCACTAGAACTGCCAGTTCTCTCAAGACTGCAGGTACCCGTTCCTCGCCAACTAACACGTAAGCTGGTTGGAGTACGATTTCTTGCAGACTACCTGAAATCACATAAAATCATCAACATTCTAATAATTCACTTTATTCAAATAAGTTTCACATAGCATAACGAGCAGTAGTAGTTTGACCGTCTCAACACGCTTCCTATGTACATCAGTTAGAGTGATCTAGCATTTAAATTAATCGACTTATCATTTCAGCACTACTATTTTTAAATTTATCTATCAATAACACAGTGAATTCAGTTGACTTGGGTGTCATTGAATCTATTCATGTTTCCTTCAGTTTCAAAGATTTATGAAATAAGTTGTCTTCAAAGAATTTTTAATGGGACTGTAACTCATGGACAAACTACTGAAGTTCAAGATAGCAAGTCTTGCATTTTGGTGCGAAATTCTTTCATTCATACGTGTAAATATCATTTTGGCATTTTAAGTGATGTCAATTCGTGGTGAAAACCCTAAACCCAACTTCTAACTCTGAATCCTTATCTTAATTCCTCACAGTAATTTATAACTTTCTTTTGACCCAAGTAAGTGGTTGAAATTTCTTAGGGTCACTTTATCACTCAATGGTCATCCATAAATTATAGTCTCAGTGAGGTTTCTATATCAAATGGTGGGATCACTGATTATTCATTATGAAACCAAAATCGAACTACTTCACCTTAAAGTTAATATGTTCATATTCAACCTCTACTTAAAAAAAAAATTCACATATACGCCTTTGTGAGAAAAGGAGACAACTGTTCAACAACCCTCTGTGGAGCACTTCACACCCTTGGAACATGACATTTGATTCAAAAAATATAAGTAGTTAATTTGGATTGGAAAATATCCTTAAAGGATTTCTTATATGCAGTCAATTGTGCTATATACTGAGGTTAGGCGTAGAGTACTCGGTAAAAATAGTAAATTATTTGATGCATCTATGATCCTTTGTCATTTTAGATGATGATATATGTATTATAGGCACTTGAATATAGTCTTATTTAACAATGTCTACTAAGTTTAAAAACGTCGAGATCCAGTGGTACCAACATTTAATGCCAATGTCAATCACCTTGACACTGTAATATTCTATGTTTTTAGTTGCCTCATTTTAGACTTTCAATTATACATAATTAAAGTATGCCTAGTTTAAATGGTTTATGCACAAACTTGTATTTGAGATGAAATTAATTATGATAATAATCTTACTAACACACATACTTGATTTGTGAGTGGGCTGTGATATTGTCCAGGTGTCTTGGTCGAAGCAGGTGGTTTCCTTAGGGGGTCACACTCTAAACCTTCGACTTAGAGGTCTGATCCCCAAGGCAGTGGAGCAACGTCAGGAGATGCAGTCCAATGGTAGCCGATGACCAACAATAGGGTCATACCCCATTTGTTCCTTCAGGATCCTGAAGCCCATGTGAACCATTGGTTTGGAATCACGATTTTCCAGCTTCCTTAGGTGAATCCTCCATATCCACCGAGCCGGTTAAAGCGCCGGACATTCACTTCTCATCCTCTCAATTTCGTAAAGAACACGTCCACCGAGAGAAGGCAGTGAATAGGACTTCCGTGTCGGTGGCTGTATACCTGTGACCATATGAGATCATTTTGAGAGGGAGCGCTAACCCTCCCCACCCTCAAGCATACCAGGGAATCGTATACACAATATTCAATTTGCGTTCAAATCCAAAAAATGTAAATTGATAGCATAACTACAATCAATGTTGAATTTCAATTTTTTTCAGAATGTATAAATGTATTTGGTAAACAAAAAGGAGAAAAGATTAAAATATTAAACAAAATATACAGTATATGTGTATACATACACCAATTACTATTTCCACTATCAATTGTTTACTGAATAACCATTTACAATTTAATGATTGACATGTAAAGTAGTGCCAAATATGAAATATACTATTATTACTAATGATAGACAAAATTATTTATTATCAGTATAGGAGTTGTGGAGATTGTTAAGTTTTTGATTGAGATCATGAACCAATTGATGTTAGACCGAAGGCCCTGGGTTCAAATCCCGCGAGCGGCATCGTGAATGCGCACTGCTGAGGAGTCTCACAATAGGACGAAACGGTCTTCCAGTACTTCCAGGTTTTCAATTGTGGTGGTCTAACATTAATCGTTTCATGATCTCAATAAAAAAAGATTTATGTCTGACTTTTGTTAAGATGGATGAAAAAGCTTACTTAATTACGCCTGTTACTCCTAATGGAGCATGGGCTGCCGACCAACATTCTCCAACCCACTCTGTCCTGAGCCTTCTTTTCTAGTGCCATCCAATTCTTGCTCATTTTTCTCATGTCTATCTCCATTTCCCGGCGAAAGGTGTTCTTTGGTCTTCCTCTTCTCCTTTGGCCTTGAGGATTCCATGTGAGGGTTTGTCTTGTGATGCAGTTGGGTGCTTTCCTCAATGTGTGTCCTATCCACTTGCAGTGGTTCTTCCAGATTTCTTCCTCCGCTGTGATCTGGTTTGTTCTGTCCCACAGTACGTTGTTGCTGATGGTGTCTGGCCAACGAATATGAAGTATTTTGCGTAGACAACTGTTAATAAACACTCGTATCTTCTTGATGATGGCTTTCGTACTTCTCCAAGTTTACACCCCATACAGTAGAACTGTGTTGATATTTGTATTGAAAATCCTGACCTTGGTGTTGGTTGCCATCTTTTTTTGAGTTCCAGATGTTCTTCAGTTGTAAATACACTTTTCTTGCTTTGTCGATCCACTCCTTCACATCTGCATCAGATCCACCGTGTTCATCAATGATGCTGCCCAAATATATGAAGGTTTTTACATCTTCCAAATCTTCTCCGTCAAAAAGTGTTGTATCGGAGAATCTTGCTTTTCTCTTTGTGTATATTGAGACCTACTGCTGCTGAGGCTGCTGCTACACTGGTCGTCTTCTCCTGCACTTGTTGTTGCTTTGGGATAGAAGGGTCAGATCATCCGCGAAGTCTAGATCGTCCAACTGCATCCTAGATGTCCAGATGAAAAAACAATAGACAGTAATTGTGACATCAATTCCTGAAGATTTTATTAATGTTAGACAATGGTATATATTGGATCCACTTTTAACTTTCTCCTGAAGATCCAATTTAATGATCGTTATGTGATATTTCAAACTTTTTATTCGTTTTGTTTTTCTTAACTAACTGTTTGTTTATATCAATGTATTACTATTCTAAATCTTATGGTTTTCATAACATTCGCCAACACTATGTTTTACAAATGATCAGGTTAGTTTATTTGATCGATCTTAATCGATACATCTAATTGTATCCTGTTAGAATTTTTGTGTCTTTAATTGTCTCAGCGGTGTGTGTACAAGAGGTCAACAGGACTTATAGATATTTGACAACATATTGTAGTGAACAAGAACACGGGTGGGGACAATCGAATGTATTTAGCACAAAAATTACAGACTATCTCAATAAAATCTGAATACTATAAAGTCAATCGTCAATTTGCAAAATATCAATGCATCATATCAAACTGGACTGTTTCCGTTGTAAACACTAATCCATTGTCTCCCATTCCATTGTACATGCGTTTTCTTACAAATTCCATTGTGCTCTCGCTCTTCCTTTCTTGATCTTCACCTCATGTTCTGCTGCGACATATACTACTTATATCAATATAAGTAGCACACAACACAATATCAGTGAATTTCAAAATAACCAGATTTGAAAAGGCAACTACTATTCTAAATCAATATTAAATCATCAAAAAAAAAAAAAAAGAAATGATTTTGATGCATTTTGAATACAGAAATAAACTGTACCAGCTTCAATTTTTATACATTTATTTAATATAATCCCTGTGTTTTGTAGGCACATCTGATGATTATGAAACTTGGATACCGCACTCATCTAATGAAGGTGGTAAAGACGGTTGTTTACTTGGTGTTCGTGAACAATTCAAACGATTGAAAAAAGATTCTCTGTAAGTAATTATATATGTATATATTATCTAAAAGTTTTTCAACTTAACCAATAACAATAGATATTGAACAACCTTTCATCATTTGAAGTGTAACGTCAGCTCTTACTTGAATAATTTTTCTTCTGGTTAGCGTTTTTTTTGTCGAATTAGTTTTCTACGGGATGGGGTCGCTAACCCCATGCCCAACGCTCCTCCTTTATCTGGGCTTGGGACCGGCAGTAGCCCGCGGAGGGAATCCAGGCGGAGTTGTAACGTCAGTTCAATGATATTAAAACCCTATAATAACTTTATTCTTTTTCTTGTATGGTTACCAAGTTTTACTTATCAACGCTACATTTTTTTAAAAATTCCAAGTCAAACTTGGTTTCTTTGTCTTCTTGTTATGAGTGATAGCTGGTTGAACTCAATAGGTATGAAGCTTTCAATTTATGTGATAACAATATGGACATTTCTTACTAAATGTCTACAATAACTAATTACAATTGTTGTGTGAACCTAGTAGTGTGAATCTTCCAATACGGCTCAGTTCAACAATTGATGACTTCATAGATTGATGTTACCTTTTTCTAATTAGATTATTTTTGAGTTTGATACGATCTACCCAGATTCCGTAAAGAGATAGCTCGTCAATAGATTTGTTGTTTAGTGTAAAAATTACTTTCACTTCTTACAGTTTACTCAAAATATGCCAAAATTAATCGAATTCAGCACAAGTGATCATAAGGTTTTTTTAAAACTTTGCCTCCGAATCACTCAATAATCAGTAAATGTTCCAAAATGAAGTTTATATTTAAATTAATTAGAACAAAAGCAATTAATTATGAAGTCTAGAATTAGTTTACGGCGGATAAAAAAACGCAGACAAGGATGTTAACACCATTTTGTCATTATAGTTAACCAAATGTAAATTACGTATAGAGACATTGTAACAGCTCTCTCCTCTAGATTCTGTTAAAATGTTTCGGCCAAATGATTGAGCTGTTGGATCTTTAGTGTTATCCTGGACAATATTATAAATGTTTTCTTCAATTAAAATTTATCTCAATTGAGATCATGAGTTAATTGAAGCTAGAGCACCATGGAAAACCTGGAAGCACTGGACGGCCATTTCGTCCCATTGTGGGACTCCTCAGAAGAGCGCATACAAGATCCCACCTCCTGGTATTCGAACCCACGACATATCAGACTCATACGCGAGCGCTTAACCTCTAGACCACTGAGCCGGCCGGCATCCAACGATGTTAATGTATAACTTCAAATAATCCACAAAATTGAGTGACACATCCACTGTTGCCATCAGTGAGTTACTATTTCACAACTGATCCAGTTGAACTCCACTGGTCACTACTTCTCATTAGAACTCCAGGATATATATCTTGAAGCATCAGATGGGGTTATCTGGAGATTGTAGTAATTTTGATAGTTGAGATCATGATTTAATTGAAACCAAACCATCATGGAAAACCTTGAAGCACTGGACGGCCGTTTTGTCGTATTGTGGGACTCCTCAACAGTGCGCATCCATGATCCCGCCAAACGGGATTCGAACCCAGTTATATTTCATGATCAATACAAATTTCACATATGCATAAATTAAATAGTGTTAATGTTATTCAGAACAACAACGAAATCTTCATAATTAAACCATCGAACTCAGCTGACACAATAACATTGAGATGATTCACTTGAACTATAAATTATCTTCATTAGTTTGCTTCTATTTTCATCGTTTTTGCCTGATAACGTTGTTTACAATATTTATTCTAAATTATCCAACTCAATGAATGCAACAATGAATGGTACATGTGCGTTTTTACTGTTTGTTAAGTTTTCAATAAAAGAATCGACAGTAGTTTTGTTATCCATTCTAATAAATATAATCAATGAGTACATTATAATCATCCCATGAGAATAGCGGCATATATGTTAATAACGATAATCTAAAGTGAAATAGTTAGATATTTGTTTTGTTTCCTCAAAAATACACGAAACTATTTTTAGTTCTCTCGTGTTTCTATATTAAAAATTAAGAATCATTTAAGCTGAATGGTAATAAAGGTGATCTAAATGAAAAACAAGAATATTTTCGTTTTACCACGATATATTACTAAAATACGGTAATACGACCGATGACCAAGATTATACTACTACTAGACTGGATACTCAATCGATACGCTCTATACAGACTGAATTCTATTGTACCAGATAAAATATTCATTGCCAAATATAGAAAACTAGGGTATAGGCTAAACATTACTTTATTCAATACAGTTACAAGCAGATTACACTTAGTTAGTTCAGAATAGAAACCAATGATAGGAAGGAATTCATAAGTTCAGTAGTCAGTAGGCTAACTATGGTAGTTTACGCTCAGTGGCCAATCATATTTACTTTTACCAGCACACATCGGATCATGATGACAGTGTCTATGATAGCTATAACTTTGACAGTAGAAGATTGTACAATGTTATAATTTCTATACGGTTTATAGTGAATGGCAATCTGTTGAACAAAAATTTCCCTTTTCCTAATATTTGATTATTTATTTTGCATAATCTAACTGTCGATTTTAATGTGATTGAAGGAAGATTTATAATTCCCGTGGACGACTAATTCAGTTTCACTCTTTAAGATGTATTACTTAGTTATGAGGCTTTCATTATTCTTGTGGACAACTTATTCGTTAGCATAAAGTTTAAATAGAAAGGCACTATTCGAATTTTTCTCTATATGACTGCCAGCTTGTTATGTAGACATTAACATTGTCAATGATAAGACATGGAACAATAACAACCAATCAAGACCAAGATCAATAGAACAAGCTGTCATTCAAATAGGGAGAAATTCGACTAACCTACTTCTAAATGAAGTTTATACTGATAATGTGGTCAAGAAGAATCATGAAATCTCCACGAATAAGCAATTCAGTTCAGAAAATGAAACTCCTCCACAATATCTTAATTTGTTCTGTATGTATGTTCAGTTAAGTTCTAATCATTATATATCTTGTGTTATATTTGTGCGTTTGTGTCCGTGTATAGGTGTGTTTGAGTAGAGTCTACATATCGTTATCAACAATTTGATGCAAATTCATTTCTCCCTGTACAATATCAATACTTCTAAGGAAGGAAAAATGACTGAAAGATTGAATAAGTTTGCAATAATCAGAAATAGTGAGATAGTTTGAAACAATCTAATATATTTTACAATCATTCTTTCGTTTCCTCATTAAAACAGTGAATGAACATTACCTATTCTAATTGTTTTTCAATACAATTTACTTCTATCTGAAGTTTGTGCTGATGATGTCGTTCAGAAGAACGATAAAAACTCCACGACCAAACCATCCAGCTCATAGAACAAAAACTAACTGATATAGTTGAAGTTATTTTATACAATGATCATCAGTAGTATTTCCACTGTTAATACCATAAAACAACAATAAATATTGAATGTTACCCTTAGAAACTTATATCTAACTAAATGATAAACTATGTGAAGATGAGTCTTGATTTATGATTGGGTGGAATAATCAGATTTTTCTTGAAATAATTATTAGTTAGATTTAAATAATCATAAATTAAGATTAAATTACACAATGAACAAATATGGTAATTGAGTAAATTCATAAGAGAAATTCACCATATACAATAAAATAAAACATTGAAATAATTAGTTAGTGGAATTGTAACAATCTTTGCCAAATAAATATGTCAGTGGACACCCGATTTCGAAATCTGCAAGCTGGGTTCCTTAAAGATCGAACGTGCACAAACCAAATGGCGACACGACGAACTATCGTTGAACATTCAATTGAATGAAACTCGTCACTATATATCAACTTCCTTGATTATGAGAAAACATTTGACAGCATGGATAGTATGACCGTATAATATCGACATTGTGGTGTCACTGAAAAGATCATCAACATGATACGAAGTTCTTATGACGATCTACACTGAAAAGTTGTTGATGGAGAGTAATTGACAAATGTATCCCAAATGAAGATATATAGAGATGTCAAATGAAACTGGTTACTCTCTCCCTTTCCCTTTCTTCTGATGGTTGACTAATTTATGAAAACCTCTACATCAGATGGGTTATTTAATCAACCTATACAAAACCCCTTTCACCTAAACAATTTTAATAGTTGTGATCATAAATCAATTGAAGCTAGACTGATAGATCTTGGGTTCGAATCTCACGAGGTGGATTCATGGATGTGCACTGTTGAAGAGTCCTATAACATAGACAAAACGGCCTTCCAGTACTTCCATATTTCCCATGGTGGTTTAACTTCAACTAACTATAATATCCACACAAAACGCCTTCCGATACTAAACACTAATTATTAGAATTAATATTATCTGTCTATTAAAGTACTTTTATTTATTAAATTAAATTATATTACATATATTATGTATAATACTAAACGATGTTAACTACACTAAGTTCTTTTTTTTTAGAATTTTAATTGGCCATAATTCTTAAAATTGACATACATATCCATATTTGTACATATATAGAGATATATATATATATCACTTACATATTCACTAATAATTCAATGAAACCATTAATAAATTATGGATAAATGAATGATTGGTAACATTTCATGAGAACCTATATACATATGTAGATGGTTGAAAGTTACAAGTTATTGGCATTCACTTTATAACATAATGTAGAACTTTTGTTTTGATTATGTTACAATTATTAGGAAATTAATTCATTGTTACAATATATCGTGTAAAATCATCTTTACAAGTTTGTCAAATGAGCAATAGTGATGAGTCTTATGCTAGATGGAAATAACCATCTATTGTTGGTAGACTTTTGATATGTTTTTATTGTTTGAATACTACTTGTTATATCTGATCATCGCTGATTGTTATCACTTATACTTGTAAAATGAGGTTGATTATGAATACAACGATCTTATATGCTGTTAGAGGTATTAAGGCGGTTATCACTTCCCGGTTGTCCACACCATAGAAGGG